AGGAATGAAGTGGATGACGAATCTATTGCGTCAGACTCAAGTGCAGTCACGCCTCCGCCCTCGACCTTGAAAAGACCACCAGTGTAAGAGCCAGTAAATCGTCTAGAGGGTGGCTTGAAAATTCACAAAATGGTCCATGTTCCTCCCAGTAACAATAAGAAGAATGGTGCCCTGAGAAAGTGTCGCGTGAGTGCTAAGCACAAGGTTAGAAAAGAAACAAGTATCATGTGTGCAGGCTGTGGTGTGGCTCTCTGCAAACTTTCATGTTTCAATGTTTATCACACGAAGAAAAACTAATAAAGAGGTATGGAAAGGAATTTATTGCATAATATATTGTATTTTAATTAGTTCCTGAAAATTTCGTTTTTAAAAACCAATTTTTGTTGAAGTTGTTTAGGAAAAAGTAACTACATGCATTTTAGCGACATAAGGTTTAAAGGGCCTGCCAGGACAGGGGTGGGATTTAAATACCCTTCGTGCCAGTCAAAGAGTTAAGAAGTAATTTGGTCCTTGATATTTCCCTATGCACAAAGATCCAGTTACAATAGTATACAGCAATTTCCTTCCCCATCTGTTTTAGTTCATTCAGTCATTCTTTATTTTTCCATATATATCCATACAGGTTAACAAACCAGGATGTGGAAATAGTCCTTTTGAATACAGATACATCAACATGCATATACAAAATTGCACGAGTCAATAAAACAAAGACACTTACATCGATCTATAAATATAGATAATATTATAGGGCAAAAGAATTTAATAAGATTTCATTTAATAGACATACTTAAAAAATAACCTACTATAAAACTTGTATTTACACCATTTCATATAAAATACCCATATTAACTAAAACAAATACAGTAAAAAATTACACACCTATGACCCATTATGTTTATAACATCAACATCATATTTAACTCCATAAATCCATACAGTATATACTTTAACACATTTAAAACTGTTAAAATTCCAATTTCTATATTCAAATTTATTATTTATTCATTCATTCATTCATTCATTCATTTATTTAATTTCTGTTACTCCAGGCTGGTAAAACTGTAGGATATAGAGGAAGTCAAGGGACATGCAGTCATAAAAAGATTCTGTCAAAAATAAATATAAGATTAACAAGCAAATATAAATATTACAAAGTAACAATTTAAAGGATTATAAATATAGCTAATATTTTGAATTAATAAATGGATTAAACAATTCAACTTATCTAACTCTGTACATAAAAAGTTATCCACTATATAAAATGAAATGAAATTTTAATACCATATTAGCACATCTGTTATCGCACTGAAGTCATGGAGAGTTCAATCATTTTATGAAAGTGTGCTAATTAATAGAGGTGCAACACACTAAATTACTTGAGCATAAAATACTACCAGTTTGTAATTAACAGTCTTATGACCATAAGATATAACAACGTTATTTAAGCTGTCTAGGTGGCTATCTAGTTTTATACTTAAAAAACTCATCAACAGTATAAAAAGAATGCTCATATAAATATTTTTTTAATGCTCTCTTAAAACTTTTAATGTCACATGCCAGTACCTTAATATTATCTGGAAGATGATTATAAATCTTGACACCTGCATAAGCAGGTGTTATCTCATTCAGAATTGTACAGAGCGTCGTTAAATAACCTAAAACCTAAAGAAACAACTAGCCAAAAAACATGTATTATACTGTACAATAACTGCTACCATTATTTGCATACTTTCCTCCAGGCTAGTGACCGTGAGATGTTATGGGTTTTGAGGATTACAGTCATCGTAATTGCTACATGTGGAGCCATCGTTGCGCTGACAGTCGGCAGTGTGTACTATTTGTCGTAAGTATCGACCCAGAGTCATGATAATTGAAACACCTAGAAAGGTACACATTGGCATATCTCAGGAATTTTTTATTGTGACTTTTTTTTCCACACTTTCTTCTTATTGGAATATGCTTTTGATATTGAAAGCTGTTTTTTCTTGTTAAAGAATTAAAATATTGTTTTCCCTGAATCTGCTTAGACACACCTAAGCCCTGGCGCCCTTTCTACTGAATGAACGCCTATAAGTACTGTAGGATTTGAGGTTCTCGCAGAAATAATTATGAAGAATTCTGTCTCCTTGGATATAATACCACATAGTCCTTTGAAAGTCAGCCAACATTTTAGAGGAACATGTCACATCCATCTCCAGGGTCGAAGAATAAGCCAAGCAAGAAACCAGGGTGAAACAGGTGGCTCCACTTGCCACTTGCTTCTTTGGCTTATTCGTCAACCCTGAAGATGAAGGCATCATGTTCCTCCGAAATGTCTGTTTACTTTCATCATAAAGATAGTACTCTTTACCTACAAGCATTCATCATTCAGTGTTTTATGTATAGAATGCCAGAATGCCTGAAATCCTGCTGTGACTGGCATGACTGAAACTATACTCCCCTGTTGCAGTTACCTGTGTGCCGACCTCATATATGTCATTCTCTTCCCTCAACTTTTGCTCATTATTCATTGGCCACATGGAGTTAACACATATGGCTGCCTTGTATCTTACTTTGTTGGACTGTTCCTCAGGATTCTAGGTAAGTAAAAATATCTGTATTTCCTCCGATGTACTTCATTACTTATTTCCTGTTTGGTTGTGTGGTCTTCTAGGAGCCTTGGCCTCTTTCATGACAGATGCCAGTTCTTCGCTATTACTATTACTATTGTCATATATTCTGGAACAATATTAAAACTTCTTAAGATTATTTGACATTGCAGACACATGAAATGTAAGGTTACTGTTGATGGTGAAGATTTACATATGATGAAAAATGAAATGGTTTAATATTCTTAATTTCTAGAAGTTATTTTCATTAACACTTTGACTATTGGTGTACAGTTTGAAATTTAAAATAATGGCATGAATAATGTTAGTTAGTGATAGTATAACTGGTGTGGATTATCTGACCCCTGCCACCCAAACTTAGAGCAATGGCTTGACTCTGTATACAATTGCTTGCTGGGATTTTATCAATTAACTATATCAGTACATTGCCACAGATACCTCAGTCCAAGTGTCACATCATCACTACCTAGCCTGTCTCTTGTTCTGAAAAAGACAAACTTGTGGTCTAGTGGTCAGAGTTCCTGGCTACAGTTCCAGAGGTCCTGGGTTCGATTCCCAGCACTACCAGATTTTCTAAGAAGTAGTGGGTTTGGAACGGGGTCCACTCAGCCTTGTGAGGATAACTGAGGAGCTATTTTAAGGAAATAGCAGCTCCGGTCTAGAAACCGAGATTAACAGCCATGGGGATTCGTTGCGCTGACCACGCGACACCCTCTATCCGCAAAAGTTGGCACTAACTTCGCTGACAAGTGGCAGTCTCTCGGTCGGCATAGTTCACACGCGGACTACAGGCCAAGGAGTTTTTGTTTGTTTGTAATGAAAAACACAGTATCATGGCTAAGATTGGTAAGGGTGTTCAAAAACCAAAATTTCTGTACAGTTTATGGAAGCTGTGCAGGGAATGATATGCCACTGGTAATTCACTGCAGTCTATTCTCTACAAAACACATAAATATCTGGTGTCCTTTTCAAAGAAAAAGGGTGTCCCGGGAGCAAAAACACGTGTTGGTGCTCCTCTAGGTGTGCACAACTTATGAATATAAGGCAACATTATCATTATACCAACGTGCTCAATCAGAATGTAAAAATAAGCATAATTTGTAACATTATCCCTATTGTTGTGATATTTGACTGAAGTTGAACAAGAATTCATTACCATGCAGTGTAACATTTGACTTTAGTCCACATCAAGAAGGAATCTTCTCCTTCTACTTCATCATTAGACTTCATTCACTTGGCTGTTATTTTTTCTTCTTATTATTTATACCTTAAAATTGCATTATTTTTGTGAAAATAGCGAGAAAATAATACACAGGAAAAGGCTTAATGATGTCATAATATTAATGTATTTTTCCTCTGTTTTCAGGAGGGGAAAAACGCTTGGGAATCCCAGCAGTCCTAAAGTTTCCATATTATGACATAGTTACCCAGACTCAGAAGTTTCCTTTTAAAACTTTGTGTATGCTATGTGCTTTAAGTGCCCACATGTTAACAAGTACAGCAGCAAGATTTTTATTTGAACGTGGGTACCTTGATGCAGACAAATGTGATATACTGAATTCCTTCCCACACCTTTCAAGAACTAATAGTGACACAAGACTGGATAAGGAGTCTCAAGAATTATCCCTCTCTGGCATATACACCAAGACAGACAAACAAGGAACTGTGAACATAGCAGCTGTAACTGATTCTACACATGATGTCAGAAGCAATTATGTGAGATAACATGATCCAACAGCTAGATGGGCTTTTCTACTTAGGTACATTTTGCAAATGCGTTCGTTCGTAAAGTCTTCTGGATAGAAGGCTGCAAAGAGAATGTCATACGTGCTAAAATCTTCTTAAACAGTCAGCCACGTGGAAGCTGAATTACAAATCAAGTTGCCAGGATGACAGAGACAGAGAAAATTGCAACTTTGATGTGGCTTACTACCTGAGAAGATTTTAGTGGATTCATCCACTATGAAGGCTTCAACTACCACAGAATATTACATGATTAATATATTGTTATGTGGTAGGTATGATCAGAGACAAGTGAGGCAAGAGTCTCACTGAGTATATAGCCCTGGCATGGATCACACAGAAAATGTCTCTTCCATTATTGTACATTCTCTTGTTGCTGGGGAACAATGTGTCCACAGAGCTGTTCTCTAGCAACAGCTGTTGTACTGTCTCCTGTTTACATAGCTGTTACTTGGCAATGGGTCTACATATCACAGTATATTATCATTGAAGGACTGAGTTGTTTGGTACAATTGTGATGTGCCTAACATGCATTCAGGATGTGATCAGTTTGAATCTGTGCTGTGGGCAGTGTTATCCTGATTGATGTCTTTTATGGTTTGTAGGTCATCACTACTACTTCCCACATACTTCATTGTTCAAAATTCATAATCACTCACTTCTTATTTGATATCATATAACCACAGCAGTTGATATAGCTTTGTACAATGATTGTCCATAAACATACAAGATGATAGTAATTATTGCTTAATTACAGTTACCAGATATTCTGATAATAGTATAAACTGCCAGTTATCCATTATCCAAGCTCTGGAATTCTCATCCATCTGTCAATAATTTTAAAGGAAATTCACCAGGTTTACAGAGTTAGTCAAGAATAAATTTTCATTGTGTATATGTTCACCCAAAGGTTGCTTTGCAGTATACAGAATGTCCTAGGAGGAATGTGCCAAACTTTGGGAGGGTGTTCCTTATGTTATAGTATGTCGATATAACCCAAAACATCTATGTCCGAAGTTGAACGGTTACGGAGATAATGGCCTGAGAAAAGTGTGGTCTTCTGGCGAGTCCACGCACTATACCTGTCAGCTGGCATGTCTTATCTACGTTTGTCCTTGAGTGTGGTGATTCACACTAGCCATAAGCTCCCTTCAGTATACATTGCGGACGCGTTTTGAATGGGCGGTAGGTTAATTGTGCAGAGTTGCTGAAATGCCTTTTGTGTTTTCAAACGTGGAATATTATGATAAGCATTTTGTGTGCGGATTTTGCGGTGGCAATGCACGTGCTGCTGTTGAAGAATACCAAAGGCGTTTTCCCGATCGAAGGATTCCATGTCGAAGTGTATTTACGTGAATTCACCAGACATTGTGTGATACTGGTTCTCTCCCGAGTGTTTCTGTGCACTCTGAAAGGGAGGATGTACGAATGATAAACACACGAGAGAACGTTCTTATGATGGTTCAGAGAAGTCCGCGTCTGTCCACTCGTAGAATGGCCTCTCGCATCGGCGTATCATGTATGCAGGTGTGGCGAACTTTACATGATGAAGAGTTGTATCCTTATCATGATCAAAGGGTACAACATCTGGAACCAGGCAACCATGCTCAGCATATGGATTTGTGCCACTGGATAAAAGCTCATCCCGAACTGTTAAGCATCATTTTATTCGGTGATGAGGCGTCTCTTACCAGGGACAGTGTAAATAATTTACGAAATGTGTATAAGTGGTCGCATAATAATCCACATGAGATAATGGAAACAAAATTCCAAAAGAGATTTTCCGTGAATGTACGTTTAATACAGTTATGTAGTCACTATGTGCAGTCAGCCATGTTACGTCAGCGCTTGCCAGTCATATGTCATGTATAGTGCTTGAAAACCTAAGGACAATTATGACATGGCAAGCATGTCTTCAAGCATGTACTTCAATTTTATGGCTTCATGTCACTCACAAGTCAGTTTGATGTTACGTACATTATTAACATTACAGAAACCACATATTCCTGCCAGTTTTAATATGTATTTTGTAATCAACAAGTGTGTAACACCGGTCAAAGTTTCACACTTCTCTGGCCATTATCTCCTTAACCGTTCAACTTTGGACATAGGTGTTTTGGGTTATATCAGCATACTTTAACATAAGGAACACCCTCCCGAAGTTTGGCACATTCCTCCTGGGACACTCTGTATATGTCTGAAATCCTTCACCTGTCAGACCACTGTGTTACAGTCAAGATAGCAGGGAGTTTCCTGTATTGTTAAACATACTCTGATTTATAAGACATTCGTGACAATATTTTTATTTTATATTGTGGCTTTCCTCAGTCCCTCCAGGCAGATGTTATTTACTGTATTTAATGTCCATCATGTTGCACCATTTATGATTATAGTCGTGTCATTCAGTGCTAAATAGTCCAGTAGTTGGTACTTCAACTTTAAACAAGATATGTAATCAATTTGCTTCTACCACATTACATGTTACTCTTCATAATAAGTATAATCCATGTGTCCTGTGGAGGTTACTCAAAAAGAAAGCTATCTTTGTTGTTAATGTTTTCATTTTTTGATGGGTAGAATTCATAAGCCAAAGGCGTAGGTGGTTGAACAATATTGAAATGGATCTTAGAGAGACAGGCTGGTATGGTGTTGATTGGATTGATCTGGCTCAGGGTAGGGACCAGTGGAGGGCTCTTGTGAACATGGTAGTGAACCTTTGGGTTCCATAAAATGCTGGGAAATTCTTGAGTAGTTGCAGAATTGGTGGCTCCTCCAGAAGGGCTCAACTACATGAGTAAGTAAGTAAGAATTCATAAGCATAGATACATGTACATATATTTTGTATTATAAGCTTTAGCGCAGCAATATTTTAGGTGGGTTAGGCAGAGCTTCAAGAGTTTACATTCCTTATGAATTTCTCTCATCACACCCACTTCCAACACTAAATATGCCGAAATCACATTATTTAGTTGTTAGCTAGTGCTGCTACATGCAAAGCTGATAGTGGCATGTGTCAGAATTCTGAAGTTACCTACATAAATTCTGCATCAATAAAAGGTTTCTGACAATTCTGAAATTCTCATCTTATGATTCTTTGTGTTTTGTTTTAAATTACATGTTCATATGGCTTCTTTAGGATTGAGATTATGGCTGTATGTTGATAAAATTGATATTCATAATTAAATTTTGTGTACCCTAAAATAGAAAGGACCCAAGTGCAGCCAAGCCCTTCTCCCCACCACAGTATATACAGTACATCCCAGTATTTGGTAACTAATAATAAGCATCCATAATACCTAGTACATAGAATGTAAATCAAATGGTGATAACATGTAGTTGCCCATTTGTGTTTATGAACTTCTGAAATTTTTTTTACATCTGTTTGTTAGGTTATTACTACATTAAAGGCGTTTTTAAGTCAAGATACATTTGATCTAAAAGTTTGTGATGATGGTACATTAATAGAAATATTATGTTTCTGAACATTATCCATCATTTTGTTTTTTATTCAAACATGACATTTTCAAGATTTGATTCTGTCTCTGTCTTCAAGTGAATCCTATTTAGCTGGGCCCAGTCAGTTGAGCTAGTCCCCTATCACCAAACCTATGACTGCCTTCAGTATAAGGCTAGCTCTGTTGATTGGGCCCAACTGAGTACGTTTTACCTGAAGATGGATACAGAATTCAGTCAAAGAAATGTTGTTTTAAATAAAAATAGGATGATGGTTAATACCCAGAAACAAAATATTTGTACAAGATAAATTAGTTTTGTCTGTTTTTTTTCTCCCACTTGCCTACTGAAAAAATGTCATATTACAATTTTATAAGACTGCATCCTGTTTATGCTTATCTTTCTAGATTTTAGGTTAACTGTCACACAAGCTTATGTTAAAAGACTTTCTTTTTTCCTATTTATAACTACACAGTACATATAAATTTGTACATATATATTACAATATCAAATGCAACATCTATTCTTGTTTTCTTATATCACTTATGACATGCATCAGCTGTATATGGCTGAAACATGTATATGTACAAATATTCATAGTAACGCAACAGGATGCTTAAGTATAACACACATGTTTCAACCACAGCACTCATCATCACGAGACATATGCAAATCAGTCAAATCTGTCACTACTCTAAGTGCAAATCTGTTAAAAGAGAAAAATCTATAAAAAGTGTGGAAAAAGTAGAAAATTAGGTTTGGTTCTGACTTGATTGTGTATGGACATATACATAGTTCCTCTCCCAGTGTACATACAAGGTGTGGCAATAAAGAAACCGGATTCATGCTCTAACCCTTTATTAAAAAAAAATCAGACAGTCGAAATGTTATCCCCTTCAATGTAGTCCCCTCCCCGATCCCTACACCGCTCCATGCGAATTTTCCACTGTTGGAAGCAGTGCTGCAGGTCATCTTGTGTTATGCTCTTCAAGAGTTGCGTCGCTTTTGCTTTCACTGCATCCACGGACTCGAACCTGGTCCCTTTCAGCGCAGACTTGATTTTTGGGAAGAGAAAAAAGTCGCACGGTGCTAGGTCCGGAGAATACGGTGGATGTTCCATCACTGGAATGTTGTTTTTTGCCAAATACCTCTTCACAGATAGCGCGTTGTGTGCTGGCGCGTTGTCGTGATGAAGAACCCATGAGGCATTCTTCCACATGTCTGGTCTCCTTCGTCGCACACGTTCACGGAGGTACGTCAAAACATTTTTATAATAAACCTGATTGACAGTCTGACCTTCAGGCACCCAATCAATGTAGATTACCCCCCGGATATCGAAAAAAACAATCATCATTGCTTTGAATTTGGACTTGCTCATGCGCGCTTTCTTCTTCCTAGGGGATTTGGGGCTCTTCCAATGCATGGATTGTCGCTTAGTCTCTGGATCATATTGAAGAATCCAAGTTTCGTCACACGTAATTACGTTTTGGAAGAAATCAGGATCATTTTCAATGTTTTCAAGAGTGTCAACACAGCAATTCACTCGATGTTCCTTTTGCTGGGGGGTAAGGATTTTTGGCACCACTTTAGCACACACCTTTTTCATGCCCAGATCGTCGTGCAAAATCTGTCTAACACTTTCCTTATTGATGTTCGTAAGTTCAGAAATTGCTCGAATGCTCAGTCGACGATCTCTTCGAACAATTCTAGCGACCTTCTCCACATTCTCTGGAGTTTTCGCAGTGGGAGGACGGCCCGATTTTGGATCGTTCCCGACGTTTTTCCTACCCTCCATAAACTTCTTAAACCACTCGAAAACTTGCGTGCGAGATAGACACTGATCACCATATACTTCTGTCAACAAATTGTAAGTTTCAGTGGCAGATTTTCCAAGTTTTGTGAGGAATTTGATGTTAGCACGTTGTTCTGCATTAGCACTCAGCATTATTCCGACGGAGCTCAGAAACACGATCCGCTTCTAACAATGGTCGCGGCCAGACTAACCGATGCACGTGAATGAAACTTTGTGTGACGGTAGAGGGAAGTCCAAGGGTCAATGCCCTACCCTCCTCTTCGCAAATGACGTGGCCGGAAATGAGTCATAAAAGTAATCCGGTTTCTTTATTGCCACACCTTGTATTCACTGTTTTTTCTAAGTTATTAGTTATTCATCAAATTTATCCAGTTCCAATCTTATAAAATAACTTAAGCACATCACATTCCTACTCTATACTTTTGTCTCCAAAGTGCTGATACTATAACATCATTTTGTTCTTGTCACAAGAGCAGATTCATTCAAGCAATACATTTGACTTGTATTTGGAATGTAACTTTTGAATTGTGGTTCACTGGCTAGTATTCTTACTTTTCTTAATTTTCATTATACAAATTCCAGAACAGTACATTGACAAAAGCCATGACCTGTTCCTTCCCAGTTTAACATTATTACCTGCAAGAAATTCACAAAAGTGACCTGTACGTGTAGGTGCCCTAGTATAGAACTCCAATTCGAAAGTGCAAAAGGAATGGAAATAAACTGAAAGGATTTGTATACTTAACCTAACCTTTTGCCTGTTAACATCTCAGTATCCATTGGATAGGAAGTCAGGCAGGCTGCAGAGGTGGTCTGGATATTACAGAGAAGAGAAGAATATCTTTCACCTGTGGGGAATCAAACCCCGGCTGTCTAGACTGTACTTTGTTACTGTACTGACTGAGCTATACCACCTCCACACCCACAGTCTGTATTCTTTCCTTAATGTCAGAGACCAAGCTTCACACACGTACAAAACTACAGGCAAAATTATAGTTTTGTATATTTTAATGTTTACGCCTTTAGACAGTAGACAAGAAGGCAAAAGGTTCTAAACTGATTGGTAGCAAGCATTACCCAGGTCCAGTGTGCTTTTAATTTCCTCATGAATTGAAATGCAAAATTATATTGGTGATGCGAGATACTTCCCTCTTGACACAAGTAGACGATAAGGTAATAACTAACAAGTTAATAAGTCACAGAAGCACATTTAAGAGTAATTCACCCCAGTCCAACCCACAGGCCACTGTAATTGATTCAGTATGAGTTAGCCAGATTCAGGGAACCAATTGGAAACCATGGAGGGAGCATAATGTAGCATTTCAGAAGCTATGAAATTGATTAACCTGCCATTTGATGGGAATAAAACGAAACTGAAGGCGTTTTTTCACAAAGTTTTGATGGCATCTGAACTTGTCTGGCAGGAGAGGTGGATACAAAATCAGTAACTGGAAATTATGAAACTAAGCACAAATTTTATGTGGTAGGACACATGATAAACATCCCACATGCCAGCGTACTAGGAAAGGATTTTTTCAAGAGTAAGCAGGCCACCACTTATTAAATGAAAAAAAAAAAAAAAAGAGGTTCAGGTCATCTTGAAACTGAGATGTGAAATGATTGCCAGATTATGAACAAGAAAGAAAGAATTAGAACAGAGATTGCTCCTGGAGTTGTCATGGCAAAAACATGGCCATAGTGAGAGAGGGTGCATGTCTTACAAGTATAGTAAACATGATGAGGAGATAGAAATAATCCTACACACAGTAAGGGGCCCATACACATGAGTCTGGCTCGTGAGTCTGGCATACGACATTGCAGACATAAATAATGCTCTGTGGATTGTACATTTCATCTTAGAGCTTAATCGCTCACTTTTCAACGAAGGACATGCTCTAATAAATGTTGTTAATGTATTGGCTTCAATCATTTCTGTATCTAATCCTCTTACTGAAAAATATACAGATGTCGTACATGACTCACGAAGGGGGTTTTTCGTCCGTTCAATAAGACATGGCACTCAACCGATCTAACTCTCTTGACATAACATTTCATTTATTTTGTTTCAGCGCTCACACTGTGTCTCAATCGCATCCAGACCTCGCTGCAGCATTCTGAGAACATACCGTTCTTTGCTCTCAGTCGCATATACAAGGTGTGGCAATAAAGAAACCGGATTCATGCTCTAACNGGTGCCAGCAGCAAACACACCTGGATATACACTAGTATTTTTGAGGGGGGGGAGGTTCATTTATACATACACTGTACAATGCATGGCACTCCTTTTCTCCTGGCGCAAACGTTTTGCCTTCGACCGAAACTCTGAATTTTCTTGCGGCAGACATGTGCTAACAGACTTCATTATACTAACAGAAATTTTAATTTGAACTTATACGCACTGTTGTATGTTCCCTGGCCGCAGAGAAATCTCCACTGCGTCTTACAGCCGCCCACCTGTACATTTACAGCCATGAAATTCATTACTGCCTACAGGTACCAAATTGTACATTGATGGCATACATCAGGACCAAGTTCATTGTGCTGACTCCCTGCAAACAGCTGCTCAGTGCCCAAAGAAATTACCACTTCATGGAACCCACGATCTCACTGCATTGTTCTCACAGAACTTATTGCCCCTTATTTTCAACTACACGACTCCTGCGCTAGCTTCCCGGGCCTCGTCATGTGGGATTGGTGGTGGACACAATGTGGTACTTGGATAGATAATCTCCAAGTACTTCGATTTCCCCTGCCAATCTTCGTTCCACCAACTGCTCTACAATCACCATCATCTAGGATTGGTACAGTAAGCTACAACTAGCCAAAGTACAAAATGGTCTCTCACTCCAATAAAAATAGTAATAAAAGAATCCTGTCCACACCCTGCCTCCTTGGCTCCATTTCTCCCACCATCCATCTAAATATTCTGTTTGTATCCCCAACAGATCCTTCAATTTATCCTACCAAAATACCCTTTGTATTCATTTATTTATTTATTTATTCACTTCACATCCATGGATCATTATACATGACATAGGACAAGTCCTCTCCTGTGACTGAAATGCCCTTGGTTCTTTACTGTTATCATCTTCAAGTAATTAAATTTCAATCGAGAATTGTGTGGGAAATTGTTTTCTGACACACATGGGTCTTGTTTATGTGTAGGTAAGAATGGAGAGGCATTACTTTATAATTGACTTGCAAGGTTCAGGTTATCCACCTAAGTGTGAAACTCCGAGAAGCAGAATCAGTGTCAGGATTGAATGTGGGTAGGACTATTTATGTAATTTCTTTACCTATTTCATTTTTGTTACATTGCTATTCACTTTTGTTGTTATAGGTGTATTCCTTCTCTTACTTTTGCCATATAATCCTTCCTGTACTGAATTGGTGAAGATGAACATAAGATTTTCACTAGTAATTGCATTTCTTTAAGATACATTATTAATTTTTGCTATATAATCGTATCCAGTACTGAACTGGAAGATGAATAGATACCAGATTTTCAGTATTCTTTACATTTTTTTGTAAGATATGTTACTTTTGCCATATAAACCTTTCCATTACTGAACTGGAATATGAATAGGTACCAGATTTTCCATATTCATTATATTTTTTAAGAAATGTTACTTATACCATACAATTCTTTCCATTACTGAACTGGAATATGAATAGATACCACATTTTCAGTATTCATTATATTTCTTTAAGATATGTTATTATTTCCGCCATATTATTCTGCCCAGTACTGAGCTGGTGAAGATGAATATATCAGATTTTCTTATATCATTAAATGCAGTCTTAATCTTGCTGACAAGCGTGTATTTCACATTCTCGAATTCCATCATTCTAATGAAAATAATAATAAATGGGAACATGAGTATTATTGCTTACAGTACATGATTTATAATACTTAAATGTAAGTGAAAAACTGTGTTCTGTATGGCTTTCAAGTGTAAGTTATGAGGAAATTATGGGGTTTAATATATGTATCTCTGATGGAAACAGAATTTTCTTTCAAGTTTCCCTACCTTCACCTTTCCTAAATACAAGTATTCCATGTATGTTATAGTTCACAATGTTTAGTGCCATTGGTTGAAGTGGTGTTTCATGTGAAAGAGAGGTTATGACTTTCCAGGCACTGCTGAGAAACTTTCTCCAGATAAATAATGTGCAACCTAATCTCTTGTACTCCAGAGCTGCAGAGGCTCTTTTTCCGTTTTTTTTCTTTTTTGGAAAGGGTGGGGAACCAAGTTTAATAGCACTTTACTCAAATCGAACCCGAAGGATATGGGTGAAGTGATATTGTTGAGCTGAACCCTTCTTGAGAACCCGCCAATTGTGCAGCCACTCAAGAATTTTCCAGCCTTTTATGGAACCCGAAGGTTCATTACTGTGTTCACAAGAGCCCTCCACTGGTCCCTATCCTGAGCCAGATCTATCCAATAAGCATTGGGGAGGGGGGTAGCGCTCAAAAATAGTTGCTATGTTAGCATACCTTCTTACCGATTGGCCTCTCGGCCCTGTCGGCCATTTTAAATTGTCTGTTACTAATTCCACATCTACTGGTCATTATTGTACCACTAAGGATCAACGGAATCTATATAAATAAACTGAACTGAATGAATTATAGGACGCGTAGAAATGGTAGCAACACCTCAACTTGTTATCATTGCGGCCATGTTGCCCACTAATAACATGCGAGTTTCACGGGGTTCACGGGGTTCACGGGTTTGGTCATTATGGTCATTCGTGGTACGTGGTTCCGTGACGTCGGTTCTGTTGATGGCTACGACCGCTACGATGCAGGGCGTGTCTGCTGCAGTCTGCTATCCGATTGCCTCGTTATACCGTGCCGGCTGCCTGAGATTGTAGTTGTTCGTGAATAGCCTGATGCAGTCCCGTGTGCATAGTATTTTCTGTGTCAGCTGGCAACGGTTGACGGAGGTTGACAGCAGTGCTGGAGTCTGTGCAATGTTGTAATGATTTGTTGTGACTGAAGAATTTTTTTTATTAGAAAATGGATCAAGACAGATATTTGTGTGATAAGCAGTCATCTTCTGACTGCTGTGGTACCGATCCAAATTTACGACTTAAAGTCCTCTCGGACTTAGGAAATTCAGTAGAAATAGACAATAACATTCCGCCTAGAAGGTGGGAGTTACCTTCGGTTTTAATTCAGCATGAATGTGTGTAGCATGATTTGTTCATTTCTCAGGTTGAGTTCCAGTTTTGGAGGTTACAGGTTTTGGAAGTGATTTACTAGAAGTAAACATGCACATTCTAGAAAACAGACTTTTCATGCACACACAGACGTCGTTATTCTAAGAGGACGGATAATGTGTATGGAAAAGAAGATAGTAACCCACCTTTTCTTGCATTACCATGAGGCCATGTAGAAATCCTCACATGCTGTTGTGGCCGAATATAAGTATATTTCAGAATAACCATATGTCGAATGTTTTGATTCTTGAATGCGTGAGCCGAGGTTTATGTAGGTTTTATGTTATTGGCAGGTCATTGTCTTCCAAATATTTTTTATGACATGTCAGCTGTTATCCAAAACAGCCTAGATATGTCTGAATATTGATAGCCTTTGTGATGAAACACTTTGTTTTGTTCTTGTCATATATTTGCTACAAAGAGATGTAATATGGCATGGAACACAAAATTTTAGTTTTAATTTTAGTTTCATTTTGTTAAAGTCATTTTCACAATGAAAATTGTTGAAACCACTTGCTAAGATACAGAACATAATTTTGTGACTGCAGACTGCTTTTACCCCTTTTGTCCCATGTCTATATCTATCTTATTTGTTACTTGACCCATGTACTTAGAAGCTGACTTCTTACAAGCATCATATAACAGACTTTGTTGCTTGAGGTTTTGCAAGGTTTAAAGGTAGAAGAGACTTTTAATTCAAGTTCTTCACATTACATAAATATTACTTTATTTATTTTTCTTTATTTATTTAATATTTTCAGTAGCTTAGATTATATAATGTCCATCATTACGAATTTAGCAAATATTCAATTTGCTGGGAAGTGGAAGAAAGCCATTGTTGGCTGCTTTGAGATCTTGTCATGGCATTTGCCTGGATGGATGGAAGAAAATCACAAAAATATGAGTTCATTATTGGCTGAGATTTAAATTCAGATCCTCTTGAATGTGAAGCAGTGCTCTTCTTAGTTAGCCACTATGCTCAGTTCTTGAATACCGTATTTACGCACGTATAGGCCGCGTGCGTGTATAGGCTGCAGCACAATTTTCAGACAGAAATTATAGAAAAAATAATTTTCTTGGAATATTATTTCAGGAGTATTACACCCTGTATTACTAATTATGAATAAAATTTTTGTTTAAATGAAGTGTGATTTCGAATATTTTGAATATAAGCCGCACCCCAGTTTTCCTCTTGAATTTTTGGCAAAAAATGTGCGGCCTATACATGCGTAAATACGGTATTTTTTTTTTTTGTCACTGGTAGATTTTATTGTCATGAACCCCAGATTTTCAGGTTTCTGCCAGTAGTTGACCCCAGTGCAAATAAGGTGCTATCAAAGAGTACCATCTTCATGGGTATAATGTCATGTAGTCCAGTGAAAGTTAACTGACATTTTGGAGGAACATATCTCCATCATCAGGATTGAATAAGCCGAGCAAGATACCAGCATGAAAGCATCTAGTCATCTGATATGTTCGTTCAAAATATCAGTTGACGTGCAACAGACTACGTGGTGTTATATCCCAGAAGATAGTAATCTTCATAACCACCACAGTGAGTGGACATTTGCACAATGGAGTCGCTTGTCAAATAGTATTAAAAATAAATTAATAACATACAACATAACGGGTCTCTGAACACCACATCAGCCATTGTATATATAATATGCCCGTATAAACATTACATACAGGGGGGTCCAAAAAATGTACTCACTCTTTGATAGTCAATATCTTTGGAACAAAATGACATGTGGTTACAATTCTTGCGCGGTAGTGTAGCGTAATGTTTTCTCAACAGATGGCCAAGGTCACCATGAGTCACATGAGTGTCGTGCCGCATGCGCGCTGTGAGCAGAAGACAGCAGCAACAATGGCTGAAAGGTTGTTCTTTGAGCAATGCAAGGCTGTATCGAAGTGTACTGGAAGTACAAAAACATTAAAGAGGTACGACAATGGCAGAATGAGTTTGGAACTCAGCCACCAACACGTCAGACAATTGCCCATATTCAGGATAAATTTGAAGCCGACAGTACTGTTCATGATGTGCATAAGCAAAGATCTGGGCCACCATGGATAGTAACAGGTCCAGCTTCCAATGCTGTGGTGTTGCAACACTTTACATGATTACCGCAAAAATCTGTGGATCAGTGTGCATCTGAAAGTGGGGTAAGCCGATCAAGTGTACGGCGAATTCTGAAGGCTGCAAAGTGGAAAGTGTACATTCCAAAACTGCTGCACGCTATGAACGAGGATGACCCAGATCAGAGTCTTGAATACTGCAAGTGGTCTGAAGGCATGGATCGTGAGGATGAGGAGTTTGCAGGGAAAGTTATCTGGTCTGACGAGGCGTAATTCAAAATGAACGATACTGTTAACCACCATAATTGTGTGTATTGGGCTTCTATAAATCCACACATTCACGTGGGCAAGGAAGTGAATCTACCAGGTGTTAATGTGTGGTGCGGTCTGTCATCGCGCAGTTTGATTGGTCCTTTCTTCTTTGAAGGTACTGTAATTGGTCAGGTGTATCTCGATATGCTTCAGACATCGATTTTCCCTGCCATTTGAGAGCTGTTTGGAGGTGAGAGATTTTACCTACAACTAGATGGTGCTCCACCTCACTACCATCGAGATGTCAGGGCGTACTTGGATGACACTCTACCTGGATGATGGATAGGTTGAAGAGGTGCTGTTGAGTACCCACCACGATCTCCAGACCTAACACCTCTTGACTTCTGCCTATGGGGAACCTTGAAGGATGAAGTTTATCGACCAAAGCTAGCTACACTGAACGCACTACAAGAAACCATCGAAGCATCATGTGCAACCATCACACCAGACACACAGCCATAGTTCGCTCAGCAGTTCGGTGGCATCTATGCTGTTTAGCTTCTGATGGTGGTCACTTTGAACACATACAATGACTCTCTCTCTCTCTCAGCACAAGAATTGTAACTACATGTCATTTTGTTCCAGAGATATTGACTATCAAAGAGTGAGTACGTTTTTTTGGACCCCTCTGTATATCACAATTACAACTGCCAACTTCCAAATACCATCACATATACAACTTCTGACTATGTAACTCATATTTTAAGACTTCAACTTTTATTGTAATTTATATTTTATACTCACTCATTTTATTTTATAACATTGTACTCACTTGGAAGTTTAGTGCTGTATCCTACATTTGACATGCAATTCAATAACAAAAAGTTTAATGTATTTGCTTGATGATGGCCTTTTGAAGGCCAAAACGTAGCAAAAGTATCTCCTAGAGCTACTTACATGTATTATTGATTGTTGTGTTATGGCGGTTTTCAGTAAGAAATAATATATGATACAAAACAGGATGCATTCGATGAAAATTACTAATGTTCACTGTTGTATATCAGATATTACAGGTCTGGCTTGGAAATGGTGCGGATGGCTAATGTGTATCTGAAAGAAGGCAGTTTGGAGAATGCTTATATTTTATACATGAAGTTTATGACGTAAGTATGTGATGTTTTAGTAATGAAATTGGATTCAAAACATTCACTGATATGTTATTACAAAGGAAACTGGCTCAGATGGGAAAATGCCTGACTTGTACATACATATATTTCACATTTCACAAGTCCAAAATATAATGGACATGAAACTGGTCACAAGCATAACACAAACAAACAAAGCAGAAAGTCTATACAAAGCTAAACAAACAATGTAACTAACTATTTACTGTAAAAATAAAAAAGTAAGTAAAGCCATCCCTGTAAGAGGCCGTGAAGGCCCATGGGGTTGTGAGACGTTGAGGGTCCCACATTATCTAGACAGTCGGCTCAAAGATGGCGGTAAGGTTGTCAGCCTTATGCGCCAGCTGCACTTTACTCCCCGGGAGAATTATTTAATTAATTCCAGGTACTCATTTCTGTTAGAGGCCGAGTCGACCCCAGGGCCTAGTGCGGCTGGAAGGATTAGGTCAACTGAAAAAAATCCAATTACCTCATCAGGATTTTAACCCACGACCTTCTGGCTTGTAGCATAGCCCCCAACCAACTACGCTACCGCATACCCCCAACTATTTACTGTATGCTCCAAAAATTCATCAGCTGTATAAAATGAGTTATTCATGAGATATGAAAATAAATTACTTTTAAAACTGATTCTATCCTCTCTAAGACTTTGAATGGACTTTGGCGATCTATTAAATAACCTAATACCAGTAAGTATATGTCCTTCTGGAAAACAGAAAGATCTGAAGTTGGAATATAAATTTGATTTTTGCTTCTAGTGTTCAGGCCATGAACGTCTGAACCTGAACAGAAATTATTTTGTATTTGGGAAGTGCCTGGTTTGAATCTCAGCTAGAACACAGAATATTCCATTGAGGTTTTGGTGGTTTTCCTTAGTCCAAAAGACCACCCCTCAGTGCTGAGTGAGAAATTTTGCAGTTATCACTGGTGAACAGATGACCATAATTTTTGAACACTGTACAATGATAATAAGACCGCATCTGTGGTCTAGTGGTCAGAGTTCCTAGCTACAGATACAGAGGTCCCGGGTTCGATTCCCGGCGCTACCAGATTTTCTAAAAAGTAGTGGGTCTGGAATGGGGTCTACTCAGCCTCATGAGGATAATTGAGGAGCTATTTCAAGGAAATAGCTCCGGTCTAGAAAACTGAGATTAACGGGGATCCATTGTGCTGGCCACATGACACCCTCTATCCACAAAAGTTGGCACTAACTTAGCTGAGAAGTGGCAGTCGCTCGGTCAGTATATTTCACTTGCAGACTACACACGACATAGTTCAGAGTATAATGATAAGAATGAATGCTACAGGGACTGCATTATGCTGTATACAGATTTAGTATTCACAGTGTTTTGAGTTCAGTGATGTGCACTGCTATCAGTGTAAATTTAAAAATAATGAAAAATGTGTCTGATCATAGTGATAATTAATTGCATCCAAAATGTTGTGAATATTGAAGGACAAGTTCCAGCACAATTGCAAGTGTAAATCAAGTGTCACGTAACTTCGAACAAGGCCAAGAGTAACCTTGAATGCACAGTAGAAAAATTTCAGACAAGGGGGTGGGTTTAAGGGTGTGAGAAGTGACAGGCGGCCTGAACTGGAATTCAAGGTTACTCTTGGCCTTGTTCGAAGTTACGTGACACTTACTATAACAAATTAACCATCATCACAGATATTTACAGAACCACAATAGCCACACAGTGTTATATATATCCATAGGCTGTTCATTGAAAAAATCCGTCACCATCCTGATTTTTCAAACGTGTCAGTAACGGATAGAGCCATTAATGCCGAGAAGCTGAGAGAAGTTTTACCGAGAGCGGAGAAGCTAAAGACCCAACTTCTGGAGCATTATACACATGAATATAAGAGATACTGTGAAGAACAGGTAAGTTCCTCATCTTTCATTTATTAATAAATACAAATACAATCAGTGAAAGAAGCCAGAAATCTGCAAATGGTGAAGGTCACTCTTGATAAATTTTGTGACGTGTTGCGCTATGCAGGACACCCCTCCCCCCACCAGCGGTGATGTAACACCATTGGATTGCTGTCGTTACTAAGGTCACAGGCCCGTCAACACCCCGCCCACTCCCGCAGTGACGTAACATGGGATGCCGCCATTGCCACTCAGCAGTAAACAACTCCCGACAGCATTGCTAGGCTGTCAGCAAACACGGCATCAAACAACAGTGGTGCCTATTATGTAGCTGTTTTCTGTGTTGTCCATAACGGGGCTAAATAAGGAGCAGCGAAGACTATTCAAGAGTTAGTTACGAGGTGGCCAGGGAAGAGTATGCAGTCTAGTATTTGTAATACTGCAGATAGCAGTAGTTGTGAGATTGTATACTGTGTGATTGTACGAGCGAGTGGAATAAAATTCGCTATATCCCATAAGGCGTGAAGTTATTTGTAGCATTATACACACAACACGTGACAATATGCTCTTCTGCAGTATCAATTTTGTTTCTGGTTTCACTGTTTTATAGATCTCAAGCCTTTTGGAGTGTATTTTATGGGTGTAAGTGTTGTGTATGAATTTATTTTGATTGAACTCTATGTTAAATTCTTACTGAAAGGTAAACCCAAAATGTTAAACCCAGTTCTATGCTGAGACGACAGAAAGAAAGCCCATGTATGGTGGGGATGTCTATGTTCAGGCTCCTACTTTGAGTCTGATGTATTTCACTCCACCCTCCACTCTCAATAACACTGTGAGCAGAAGGTTGATGGTTGCTTTATCAACTGTGAAGAAAATGGTTCCTGGTCGCGATATTGAACATGAGAAAATAAGCATAAAAATTCAACAATTTAAAATATTTTTATTAGTTTTAATTTATTTGGAACAGTTCACACACACCTAGTGATAATTTCAGGTCTCACATTATGAGCCGTTATTTTGTGTTGCAGAAACTGAGAGAGCAGGAGGAACTTGAGCGTCGAAAAAGAGAAACAAAAGAAAGTAAAAAACGTGAAGACCTAAAAATCACACCCCCACAGATTTTGCCAGCGGAAAGGGGGAAGTCCATACCAGGATCATCTGTAGTTGTAATGCCTCCTGTTCCTACTGATAATGTAATTTATCCAGATATGCTGGAACCAGAAAAACCGAGTTACATACCTAAGCCAGACAGTCTTTCCGTATCTGCCCCAAGGTAAGAGTAAGTGCTATAATAATAAGACAGTTCATGAGTGTAACTAACTAAAGGTTCAGCACCTCTAATTCAAATACTTGTCACTGAATGTGAACCTAAGCCAGTTCTATCTGCCTCCCATTCTCACAGTCCATTTTCCAAAGATCCAACTTTACGTGTTATCCTGCCATCTCCAGCTCCATATTGCAGGTGATATTTTTCCAACAGGTTTTCCCAACAAAATTCTCTGCATACCTACCTACTTACCTATCTACCTGCCTCTACAACCCTGGGTGATCCTTGGCCTCCTCTACAACCAGTCTCCACTGCTCTCTACTACTCATTTTCTCTATCCATCCTTTCACCTTCATCTTCTTCAGGTCGTTCTCAACATCATCTATCCATGTCATCCTGGGTCTTCTTTTTCTTCTTTTGGAATAATTCTTTGACTACTTCCTACATCTTTCTTGGTTGCAGTATTGTGCATACATTCCAAGTTGCCATTGCAATATCACTGTTCCTTGTCCTTTGCTTAGTCCATNCATTCCAAAATTGGATTGCGAGATGTTGTAATTCCATCAAGACTTATGGGAAAATTTATGAACCTGGCGCAGCAGAACACAAACCAGAATATTGAGACTTGTGGAATATTGGCTGGAACACTTGTAAGTTTTATAGTGGCTAGAGTTGTAAATGCACAGTTACGGGATCTGATATTGCATTATGATTTTGAGAAATGGCTCTTGGTAAAAAGGTAAAGTTGTCCTTAAGCACTATGCCATGAAGACGTGGGGAGACAGAGATGTATATATAGGTGCACCATTCTTCACTTCAGCAGTATATGGAGGTGAGTAGAGAGCTTTACACCTCCACTGCTTTGCCGCAAGGGAAATCGCCCCTAGTGCCTGTTGGATAGGAGGTTGTGTGGGCCCCAGAACCAGTCTGGATAGTATGGAGAACAGAAAAACTGTACCACTGCTGGGAATTAAACCCTGGCTGTCCAGCCTATAGCTTGTCACTATACCAGCTGAGCTATCCTGGCTCTTTGCTCATGGTACTACATGAAATAAATGTTCATACATATGAGAGTGATAGTGACAAATCAAAATTGCATTCACAGAGAAGTTAAGATGACATTTATGAAGCTCATTGACCTGTGAAATGTGTTGCTGTACAGTCTGGTAGGTAGTTACCAACATTTTAGAGAAACATACTGGCTGTCTTTGGGATACAAGAGTCTATTCTATCCTAGATGTGGAGGCAGCAGGTTTTTCCCAAATGCTTTTCTTCCCTGAAGATGGAGGCAGCACATTCCTCCAAAATGTTGAGAAAGAGTAGCAGGTTCTCAATATCACATCCCAGAGGCCAGCGAACCTTCATACTCATCTCCATGTGAACTTAGAGAGAGTTTAATTCAGTTAATGGTCCTTAACCATAGAATTAAGAACTTTTTGCCTTCCTATCTGCTGTCTAAAAAGGTAAATAATAAAATATGTAAAATTATAGCTGTCTTTTGTTATTCTGTATTGGGTTTGTTGCACCATCTGGCAAATCAGAAACAGATTTATCCTGAATTGGAGCAGGAACAATCCAGTAAGGTCACCCATTTTAGATGATAACTTTGTTTCTCACATTAAGGGAATTAAAGCTGGTCAAGAACAAGTTGCTGAAAAGAACATTTGGAGAGAGAAGCAGTAACAGGATCAAAGAAAATTTTGCATAAAATAGGATCTCTGTAATTTGCTGACGTCACATATTCAATTCAAGGAAGGTGAGATGGACATGTAGCATACATAAGAGATGTGAGAAATGCATATATAATTTATATCAGAAAGCCTGCATGTAAGAGGCGACTTGGAAGACCTAGGTACAGGTGGAGGATAATCAGTGTTTTAAAAACTGGTGTTAATGAAATAGGGTGGAAAAGTGTGGTCTGAATTTATCTGGCTTAGAATAATGATTGCATGAACATGATAATGAACTCCTGGTTTATTATAAAAACAGGATATTTCTTGAGTAGGGGAGGACTGTTAGCTTCTTAAGCAGAACTGTACTCAAGTCAAGGTTTCTCTAATGTTGCACAGCACGTGATATTTTGGCCTTTATAGGATAAGTGATTGCATTGAATGTACCAATGAATCAATCTGTTTATTATATAAAATTAAAAACACTACTTTTTCGGTCTTGGCTGACCATCTTCAGGTGTATACATGTAAAATCACAAATATATAGTTTAAATTGAATCAATTGTTGGTCACTGTAGTTAAAATTTCTTAATTGGTGTTGTAAAATGTGAAATCTACAGTTTGTGAAGTTGTAAAAATAAATAAAATGTGTGTGTACAGGTTGCGAATGTACTTGATGGTATTTTGAGTGGTGTATTTCTGTTTTTACATGGATTTTTTATATTATTCCCATATACATGTGTATAGCATAGCTGTAGGTAGTGTTACTGTTCGTATGTTGAGAACATCTCTTTGTTCTCTTCTTTGTGCCTTACCCAAATGTGCATGTGGATGTCTTGATGTAATACATAGTAATGAAAGTTTTGCAGTATTGGATATATGTCATTGTGGATCAGTATGTTTTTGAGTTCTATGAATAAGGGTATTAGTGCATAGGGGATGTACATGCTGTGGTTGCTTTTATGTGGGCTGAATTTCTTGTTTTTAGCATGTTCCTGATGTGGGTTGTATGGGGAGTGGTAGGTGACTCTATGCTCTCAGATGAGAGTATGAGGACAACATACTCAGTTGGATCCATTAAGAGGAGCTAACTTCAGTGACCTCACAGTATTCACTTTCTGACGTGTGTTGTTTCAGAGTACTACACGATAGACAACATATAGAACCTCAGTAATTTCAAGTAAAATACACAATTGTCAGAACCCTTTAAAATTATTTAAAAACACAGATACTTCAGATTTATTTCAGAAATTTTCTAAATATATACTGGGGCGTCCATTAAAGAAAACTAGTTAGATTTTTGACCAGCAGCCAGTAAAGTAGCAAGCTCCAACCAAACTGACAAAGTGTGCCAGTGGGTTAATGCCACTCACACCACCTGGAAAAATTCAAATGAAATGTGCTCAATTATGATATTGTACTCTCTGGCAAAATTAAGATAAACCGTGGTCACTTACATCATATCACCGTCTGCAGAGAATCAGATATAGTGTGCTCACTTATGCTGTAAGAATGGATATTTGAGAAATTCAGTGAATCAACCAATGGACCAACATGGGATTGTAGCTTTCATATGTGTAGGACTGTTTCAGTTGTGTTTATTTTTTTCAGAATCATGGGCAACTTATTATTACGCACCTTCTGGTTCCGAAACAGAATGGAACTGGAGATTCATGTACAACACAAAATGAAGAAGAAATATTTGACTATCAAGATCAGCATGACCTTATAACTCTTGGGTGGATTCATGTAAGTTGTTTTTGGAAAAGATACCAAAATTTTTATGTGAGCATGCGTGTGCATGTCTGTCTGTTCTTTATATATTTCCATACCATTGGTGCCTGTTTTACCAAATTTGATACTGTGTTGGAAGATTTCTTTGGGGAAGTTTGGGGTAGCAAAATGTATCAGTATGGGCACAGAGGTCCAAATGTGAGATGTCAGTTTCCCCAAAACAGGATATATCAGTCAGATGGTCTGTGAAAGAGCAGTTGTTACCAGTCAGATGGATTTTGTTGTTGTTCAGTATTCAGCAACCAACAGTGATTGTGGAGCAATGGTCATTTCATTTTCAAGATATGGTTAATCTGGATATTGTTCAGTGTTCAGCAGCGGACAGTTTTCTGAGGAGTAACAGTTAATTTCATGGCCAGGATAATATGATGAGGAAGTGTGTATGAACTATTTCCAGTGTCTTTGCACCTATTTTGTTGGAGAGATCACTTCCAAGAAGAGTTAAAAGTGTTTGCGTTTATGCATGTCTCTTGTGGCAGAGCAACACCAGGAAGATCAAGTGTGTGCAAGCCAACAGAGCCAGTATTATGTCCCAGAAGATAGAACTCTTGATTTGTGAACATTGTTTTTGTAGTCTGGTAAGAGAAATCTTAGTCACAAAATTGTGTATTTTTTTTTCAGACTCACCCAAGTCAGACTGCATTCCTTTCGAGCGTAGATTTGCATACCCACTGCTCATACCAGCTTATGATGCCTGAAGCGCTTGCCATTGTGTGTGCCCCACGGTATCAAGAGTAAGTGGAAACATATTTCTATTAGCACAGAATGTTCAGTTGAGATGTAAACATTGTGACTGTGATAACACAGCAGTAGTTCACTGCATGACCGAAGAATCAACAGGGTAAGATTTTTGCCTACATGCAGACTCTCATATCAGTCTGTAATTACACAAAACTTGATGATTAATTACAGTAAACAGGGGAAACAACTTGCCATATTTTGTAAGGTCTGCTGGAATTGAACCCCTCCTGCATGCTTTGCAGTACAGAGGCAAATTTAGCAAAACTTTCTTAAGCTCGTCTTCAGAAATTGAAGCAGTTGCACAAATATTTCATTCTGGAGACCTTTATCAGTGCAGGGGACATTGTTGTACAGTTTTCACTTCAAGTTTCTCCAGAGAGAATATTCACAGTGACTAACATCAGGGGCTCTGGAAAGCCAGAGTCTTCCACTGATTATTCCATTCTGAGACACTTCAAGTGTAGTGACCTTTTGTCGTTACCATGGCAGTATTTAAGTTTGTGCCGGCTCTGTGAACGGCAGCTCTGGGTCCACAATTTCATCATTTACATCTTGCAGCGGCAGGGTATAAAAGTGAGTTCCTCCTGATGCATAACTGTCATTTTATATGGTAAGGTAAAGTTGCAGCTTTGCTTAACAAATTAAGCACTATGCCATGAAGACACAGGAGGGAGTGAATGTATAGATCCACGTTTTCTTGACCTTGGCACTAGTTGCAGGTGAGTGGTCAGCATCACGCTTTACCCACCAGGGAAAGAGCCCCTGGTACCCATTGAATAGGATGCTGGATGGGCCCCAGGGCTGGTCTGAACAGCGTGGAGAAGAGAGAATTCTTGACCCTATCAGGACTTGAACTCCGACCCCTCTGTCATCAGCCTGTAGCCAGTCGCTATACCCATTACCAGTTTCTTATGCTGAGCATCTTAATGATTTGCCAGTACTTATCTGTAACTGTCCTTGAATGTCTTGACCTTGTTATTCAGTTAGCACATTCCTCTTTGACAGTCTCTTTTTGACACAAACTGAACTCCTGGTCCACCACTTTTTGACTAAGTTTAATACATGTGAATTTGTTAGAACTTCTGAGTATGTTTAGTGAACCCCTGAATGCACTTTCTCTGAGTTTTGTGATGAAGACTTATTGTTAACTCATATACTTCGGTGCAAGAGTAACAAATTCTTACCTTAAGGATCTGAAGAACCAGAACTTTCGGTCATTACCACACCAGTCATAATATGTTTACTGCATCTGTGACTCATTTTATCAGCAGGTTACTTAGCAATCACAGACAAATTGTATACTCTGATTATATTGTTGCTACATTTTCCTCTCATTTGAATTCTCTGTGATTGAAGAATAGGTGAATGTACAAATATCAAGGTATGAGAGGCAAGGGGACCTTGGAAGATGTCTCAAGTCTGTTTAAACTTTTATGTAGTTATTTGAAAGTTGATTATTTTTTATGTGTAGAGATTACAAAGAGACCAAAGCATTTTGAAGGAATTTAAGACTGTCAGTAGTGACCCTAATTTTGAATCACAGAAGGAAATGGATTTCGGATATTAAGAGAATGTAAAGAGATTGTCTCTCCAAATTGCCAGTGAGATACAGATGTGTTGGAACAAGAAACAAAGGACATCTATTCAAGAGAGTATTATATTAAAATGTAAAGACTAGAATGGATCAACAAATCAACATCATATAATGCAGCAGTTCTGTAACAGAGACGTCTCAGTTGTTCATTTATATTCTCATCAGACTCTCAGTGGTTCTTGTTACTTCTGTAAAATAGTAGCTTAATTCTGAAAACTCACAGTGGCCAATGAACTTTTAGTGCTAAGATTTTTTTCAGCCGGAGTATAATATGTGTCTTCAGTGTTGAGCCCAGACCGTGTTTTTAAGGTTGAGGGTGTTCAAGTGTTCCAGCAAACATCATGGTTGCCATCATCAGGGTAAATGATTTTGGGAACAGTTTAGTAGCTCTCACATGAGGCCTTGTGTAAGAGATGTCCAATCAGAGCTTCGGTTCCGACACATTGTCTAGGGTAGGAGCTGTACAATAGCAAATGAACTCCCAGGCATTAACCCCAAAGAAGGCAACTGCAATGTTTGCTGAAAGGTTCGAAACCCCATAACATTTGACATGGCATGGTCGTGAAAACCAAAGCTGCTATGCCCAGTGAAAGTTGTGTTTAGCTTTTGTTTGTCCCTTAAGCATAATGATACCATGGTTCAAATTCAGAAATGCCAATAGATTTGTAAGTCTTGTGCATGGCTTTTGATGGATAAAGTACTGAAACTGAAATTCATTCATTAGCGTGACGTTCAAGGACCAATACAGTTCTCATTCATGTAAAGCTAAAACCAGTAAATCAGTCAACTGTGGAATGTTTATTGAGGAAACTGAGGCAGAATGAAGAGAAAGGCATTATTTATGTGCCTCTTTGGGGGTGGGACATTTAGAGGGAGACTCTCTTGTAGGTATGTTGTCAGCATTAATCAGCACATCTCTTCATGTGTGATTTGAGGTTCCTACAGAAGTCACAATGGAGATTATCACTTTTGAGTTGAGACAACATCTGTACTTTTTGTTTATTTAATAACACTGTTAGTATCGAGACTATAGAGTTAGATGGATTGGACAATTAATGTGGAGCTGTCTTAGGAATGAAAATTGGCAGGGGAAATTTAAGAACTTGGAGGAGATTTGTCCCGGTACCACTTTGCCCATTACAGATACTACATAACCTGACCCGGGATTGAACCCAGGCTGTCATGGTGGGAAACCGGTGACAAACCACCTGAGTTATGGCATGCCTTGTAGTCTGATAGAAGATTACTGGCATTTCAGAGGAATTTGCTGCCACCATCTTCAGGATAGAGTATGGAAAATGTGGTGTCGCTATAGAGGGAGAGACTGCCGATTCACGGTTTCTCGTTACTTCTTGGTTCAGTCACTGTCCCTGTCCTGACTGCACCCCTCTCTATATCTTTATCACTTTCTTCCATGGTCAGCCTACTCTTTTACCCTGAAGATGGAGGCAGCATGTTCCTCCAGAATGTCAGTAAATTTCACCCAGAGTCCATTTTACCCTGAAGATGGAGGCAGAAAATTTCTCGAGAATGTCAATAAATTTCACTCAAATTTCACTCACTGCTTCACATCCCAGGTTTCATTTGTCTCTGCCCCTTCTGTCTAAGGCTCCTCAGTTTAACACTATTTCCCCATTTAGCGTCCAATTTCAGTGGTCCTAAGTCAGTAGACTCAGTCTTAAATGTACTCCATATAGGATTCTACTCCCTTTGGTGTTTAAATCCACTGATCCTCAGAGAAAACTGAAATAAGGAGTCTCACTGTGGTGGCTTAGTTACCAGTCATGAAACCCTGGATACCGGAATGTTACTTTGTTTCACATTTCTAATTTTCTTTCAGAAATGGATTCTTCATTTTGACTCCTAACTATGGCTTGGATTTTATTGCAAACTGTAGACAGACTGGTTTTCATCCTCATCCCAGTGAGCCACCATTATACATGGTATGTATCATACAAAACAAAATTTGAACATGCTGAAAACAAATTAACAGTTTTCTAAAGGATCAGAAAGTTAATTAACTCCTTCAATAGTGTTGCATAACCTTTTGCCTGATGGGTGCTTGGATAGGTGACAGCTTGGGAAGACTGGGTGTTTTGTTGTTTATCTGGTGAACTCTTTGGACTTCGGTCACATCCAACTTTTCCCTGTGCACTGTCATGTTTGACCTGGGCCAGGCACCAGCCCCAATCATCTCCCCTATGTTGGAACAAGAAACCGTACAGTATATTCACAGGCGCTTGCACACCATACACACTTAAGTCCTGAAGATGGAAGCAGGATATACATCCTAAATGTATTTAGCACTGCCTGAATCCACACAGTGCAGAGACCCTTGAGTGACAGCAGCGACATTGAAACAAATTTGACAGCTTAAAATCAATAAATTGAAGGTAACAGGTAGGTCCTTAATCTTGAAAACTTTGCAAAACCCCATCATACTACAATCAATCTTTGTTGTGTCCTCATTGGGGGTGTTCTGTTAATTTATACCTTAGTACAGTTGCTCCTATCTCTTTGGAATACTGAGCAATTGACAGAGTCCAGAAATAAAGTGTAATATTCTATTGTCAGAACAATTTTAGGATTCTCGTATCAATATATTTGCCTAGAAGAACAGAAAGAAAAGTATGATGACCTCAGGGATGGAATAATAAGTGCCTTGCCCAAGATTTTAATGCCATACCAGCTCAGTTACTGGAAACAGATGGGCGGAATTTGTACATATAGCAGGCTACTTCTGTCTTGAATTTATCTTAAGCAGGAAGTAAGTGTAGTATTGTTGTTCTTTCCAGAAAGCAGAACATTCCAAGTTTGACAACGCTGCCTCTGTAGAAGTCGTGGATTTAAGGAGATGAGTTATGTGGTGTTTACACCATAGGAAATTATCTTTGTCAAAGCCTCTGAGTAAACTATTGAGTATTAACTTACCTGCTTGGAATATTTTTGATGTGAAGAAGCTCTGGACATTAAATCAAAACATGAATGACTCTCAGTACTAGGATTTGTATCTTGTTTCATACTGCACTTGGTTTAATTGTACAACTGTGTGGCTTGTTCAAGGATAGCTCTGGGCAAAAGAATAGAGCCAATTAAGACTATTCCCCTTGGGTGTTGAGGCAGGCATCTCAGTGATACACCAAGTGGTAGATCCTCTTCTTGAGATGCTGCTAGAACCACTGCACAGTTGTGGCTTTTATGACTGTGTCCACCCTGAAACTGTGGCAGCAAGAGGCCCATAATGTTTGGGGGATGGCCCAGCATCTGGCGTGCAATGTGTCCTGGACAGTGCAGTTCACATGGGCATGGTGATTGTCATGCAACACAGCAACACTCCTCATGAGTATGCCAATGTGCCTTCTTGTAATGGCAGTATGAATATCTCAAGAGGGTTTCACATTAATGCTATGTATGCATTGATGCTGATGTTAGGATATTTGAATGTGAACATGAACTCTCAGCACCAAGGAACTGGTCCTATTTGGATGGATTCCACACCTGGAATGTGAACATTTAATCATATCACATCACTTCTTTGTCACAGCTGCTGGTGTGTTATGCATGTGCCCACATGAACGCCGTTTGACTGGCCATATTTGCTAGCCACAGCAGGTGGAACACCCTTCATATGATATGATACACTTCTAAGCCTACCTCAGAGTTATTCGCCTTCTTTAAAAACAGTTATATAAAATTTGTACTTGATTGATTTTTATACACATCTGGCAGTGTTGAAATACGTTCGTGGATTTGTTTAATTTTGTACGCATACAGACCGTTCAGTGTGGTGTTGCAAGTTTGGTTCATATGTCTGTTATTGTAATGTATGAGATAAATTCAGAGGCAATTAATTGTTTGGTGTGGTATACACAGAGCTAGTCATATAAACGGGAGAGCTTTACAACCTGCTTCTGCATTTCTGCCTGATTTTAGTGCCTATTAATATTGTCATATGAAGTATTTATGATCATTACAGATGTGCACATAGACGTACTGTGTCAGGTTTCTTGCTTCAGGAACAGTGAGCCAGACTGAGATGGTAATAATTTGCATACAATTTATGTCCTAGGAACTATACTTTATTCATCTGATAGGAAGTCATTAAAATGTGGGTGGTGTTTAGTGATGGAAATGACTTTCCTAGAATTTGGTAGACACTCTAGATCAGTAGACTAAGCCAAGGGATTGTCCAATGCATGTTACAAGGAAATTATAAGAATGCAGGTACAGGAATTTGTATATCATTGTTTGAAATGATAGAGTGAAACCCCCCATTTAAGATTTCTGTGGATTTGGACACTAAATTGAGAAAAAATTTTGGAAACAAGAAATTTAACATGAGTTATTGTTGACTTGGAACATCGAAGATAAAGGTACTTTAAATGGTAGTCCCACTGCATTTACAGTGTTTTAAGGCACAGATGTAGCATCATTAAAGATAAGTGCTGTGGAACTAAATAAAACAGTGTCTACCCATTTCTACACCTGTTTCTAGAACGGTTTTATGTAGTACTTGAGTATATGTAAGTTCAATCAAAATTGAACAGTCAGAAAGTAAAATACCCTATTTTTTTATTTATAAATCTGATGTCTTTATCAGTGAACCTAAATGAAACAAATAAAGGACAAAATAGACAAAATCTTGAAGAAAATATGTTCTTATTAACGCTATTTTACTCAAAACAGAGATTTTCATAAGGTGCTCCATTATGCTAAATGAAGGTTGCCTGAATTAAAAAAATGTGTGATAAAACTTTGTTCACTGTGCTGATTCTCCACTGTTCCTATTGTTTTGTTTGCATTGTTAAGTTTCTTTTAAATAAACATCTGAGGAGAAGAATGCTATAATTTTTCTCCAACAAGGTCTGACATCTTTCTCTGAGTCTACTTTTATCAGCTGTACTGTAAATAAGGCAGTCAGTCATCAGCTTCCTGCCACAGTGGCCCAGGTTGAATCCCAGGCAGGACATGTGGGTTTTATGGTGGGCAGAATGGTATGGGGGAAAGTTTTCTCCAAGTACTTCATTTTCCTCTGCCATTTCTCATCCCACCAATTGCTCTACATTAATTAATCATCACTGATGCTATACAGTCTCGATACTGATAGCATTATTAGATAACCAACTTAAAAAAAAAGTAACTGCTCGGTTCTTTAATTTTAGAAGTACAGTTTGAGGTTATACTATGCTCTGTATGACCAGGGAAGTGGCATAGATGCTTCTCTTTTCTACAGCATCCAGACCAACTCTGGGGCCCACTCAGCCTCCTATCCAGTGGGTACTAGGGACTGTTTCCCAGAGGTAAAGATGCTGGAGCATGAAGCTGACCATCCACCTCCATGTAATGCTGAGGTTAAAATGCATGGAACTATATTCTGCTCCCTAGACGTCTTCATGGCCAGGTGGGGTGCTTAGTTAGTCACAGGGGTAGCTTTTAGAGTTCGTAATGCCTGTGAACACAGTATGTGTCATCAGGAATCTGTTTTCTTGCCACTTTATGGCAAAAACAGTCTGAATTGTTTTGTTTCATCTGTGAGGTTGGAAAACCTAACATACGTTGTTGCCATTGTTATGTATAAATGCCAGATTCTTTTCGTGAAATTTAATTACAGAAATGAAACACCAAATGGGAGCATAGATGCTGAAGTGATCTTGCCATATGTAATTTTATCTCCAAACCTGAAACCTTTTAATTTTAATGGTTAAAGTAAGTAAAGTAAAGCTATCCCTGTAACAGGCCGTGAAGGCCCATAGGGTTGTGAGATGTTGAGGGTCCCACATTATCTAGACAATTGGCTCAAAAATGGCGGTAAGTTTGTCAGCCTTACGCGCTGGCCACGCTTTACTCCGCAGGAAAATTATGTAATTAATTCCTGGTACTCATTTCTGTTAGAGGCTGAGTCAACCCCAGGGCCCTAGTGGGGCTGGAAGGATTGGGTCAAATGAAAAAATTCCAGTGACCTCATCGAGACTTGAACCCGCAACCTTCCGGCTTGTAGCATAAAATTCAAGTATAATATCAGACTGTATAGTATGTTAAGAGAAGAATACATTTTTCAAAATATTTGTTGTTATTCAGTTCAAATTCTCTCATCCTCTTTACTTTTCAGAATGTTGAAGCCTGCAAAACAATAATGCCAGTTGTACTATGCTCTTGTAAGACATGGTCTCTCAGAAGTAAAACTATAAATGACAAATGTTTCGAAACAAAATACTTGGAAGCATAATGGGCCTATGAAGAGTCATGAAGTAATTGATTTAAGATACTGTGATAGTGATTAGACTCAGAGTTCAGAGTCATAATTGAATTTATTGGATGTTGTCTTCTCTTATTTACAAATAATTACACAAGTTACAAATATTCAGAGTCAGTCACCATCTTTTATATCACTCTTGCATGATTTCCTTATTGGTTCTCTCAGCTCACAGTTCCTCAACTGTTATGCGTGTACCAGGCTGTTGGGGGTTGGTTGTGGTATATATATATAAATATGGCTGTCAGTGATTGATGCTTGACATTGCCTAGCAGTGGACATCTGTGCTACATTTTCTTGATTCTGAGATTCTTTTAGGCATCATGTCAGTAATATATAGTGATGAACTTTATAATGTATACAGATTGCCTAATATTGTAGGAAAATGAGCAAGGAACTTCAAAGTCCATATTCTTTATCTGTTGTTAATTGGTTTAAGATTACAATGTAAATCACTCCATCCAATGTGACCTGTAAGTTTTTTACTACATGAAAACTTAACACCCTTACATGTTTCGGTCTCTGCGGACCATCTTCAGAGGGCAAACATCACTACAAATAGGAAACCACCATCACATAAGTTGTTTAGACGTAAAGTACATACACTTATATGCTACAATACATAGTATACAAAATAGACATTTCACATTTCACAAACACAGCAGTTTCCTGGGAATGTAAAGTTTTTTATAAAATTTTGTGATGCTAATTAAACATTTTTTGGATTGTCAATAATTAAAATAATTAAGATAATCAGAGCTGCAGCGATATATAATAAATCTTGGGATTGTTATGATCCAGTGACAGATTAATCTTTAATAAAGAAGCCAACTGAACAGGTTCTTCCCCATATTTTCACCCGAGGACAAACACAGATCCTTTCAAACTACTTAGACGGTGGAGAAAATCCGGAAACTCTGTAATCTCACAGTCGTTAGAATTCCTTAGAAATAATAAATGTTCCAAAAATGTATCTGAAGTTTAGATATTTGGAGTGACACTGAAAATTAAAAATTGCAAATATGAAGGAGCTATGGGAAGTTTAAATTCAGAGAATGCTTGTTACCAATCAGTACAGAATATTCTGTCATCCATTCCCATCTGAGAACCCAAAGATTAATTTATACAGAGCTGCACCTTTACATATTGTTTTGTATTGATGTATAAAATGGGCTTATCTTAGATAGAGGGTGCATGAGAACAAAATGCAGGAAAGCATATTTAGACCTGCATGTGGTGAAGCAACAGGAGTCACGAACTAGCTATACAGTGAGGCACTCCATAATTTATACTCATCACCAAATATTATAACCTTCTTTTCAGATTATTTTTGTCCTTGCTGTGAAGTGAGCTTGAATGTGTTGGTACTTGTCATAAGTGAACCCATTGTACGAGCCCCAGATGATAGGTGAGAGAATGGAACATTAGTGGGATGTTATTGGAGGAGCAAAAGTCTGAGAATTCCTTGCCCCAGTAAGAATCTGTCTGCCATGAATTCTATGTGAACTGCCCTGGAATTGAACACAGTTGTCTGCAGTGTTAGACAGGAGGTTAATTGCATGTCTGCAAGGCATGGATTACTGTTGTTATATAGGGTCTAAGCTGCAGCAATTGTGTTGCCCTTCTTGCACTAGACTTTGACACTTAACTCTCTTGGGCTAGATGTTTCAGTGATTTTCTAAGTGTGTGTTCAATTCTGGCACCTATGTCATCTGACTTATCAGTAAGCACTCGGTGCTTATGCTTTTGTTTCTTCTCTATTAAGAGTCCCGTTTTTCAATGTTTATTCATCAAATTGTGAATTGTCTGTTGGGAACTCTTTCATCACGAAATTTTCGCCGACATTTTCCAGCAGATCCATATTTCACGTAGGTGTCATACAGAGGTACATGTTGCTCTGAAGTATAGTGAACCATGTCGTGCCACACTGCTGACTGGTAACTGGGAACAAATGGCTCATGGTGCTGATAACGGCTGCCTGCAGCTCACAAATCATAAACTCCCATACACTGCCCGCCATGTAACACACTACTGTGTAGAGGTCTACAGGTTAATGATTTTCCTTCATTCCAAACGTTATCAGCCGTCAAACATGCTGAGTCATCGGCAAAACTCGCATGGATCCCGCGGCCTAAGGCGCATCGGTCCCCGTGAAGCGCAGAGCCATGAATGCGTCAAGTTTACTAAGAAAGACCCTGTTATTAAATTCTCATAAGAAATGTATTTATTCCACGTCAAAATTATGGTTATACCATCATGAAGAGATTATTTTATCATTAAATGATGACAATTGAAGCACAGCAGATTTACTGCTTACATACGTGTATGTATGTATGTCTCAGTTGCCAGAGGCTTGTTCGTGAGAAAAACGTTTTGTGAAGCTGATGTTTAATAAACTTTTTAATAGAGCCTTTAAGACCATATTGTTGGCGCGTATTCTTTCCCTCAGTAATGTTTTTGACCGAGCCGTTGCCTAGCAACGATAGGAGGGATACATATACAAACAGAGTGGTGGAAGGGATTTATGAAGTACGCAATTGAGATGGGGTCAGGTGTCATGATATACATACAAAGTTTAATAAAGATTGGTTCAGGCATTCAAAAGTAAATGGGGATTTACAGACACGCAGACATGGAGATCGCATAAGCCTGCTTTAGTTTTTCAAAATAAGGAAAGTAAGATTAAAAATGGATATTAAGGAAACAGGCGGCGAGAAAATATACTGATTTTTGACTGGTTCCGAAAACTGTCTTGTTAGCGGGCTCTTGCGAACACGGCAATGAACCTTAGGATTCCTTAAAAGACGGGGAATTTCTGAATCAGATGATTGACCATTGGCCTCTCAAGAAGGACTTTTGGAGCAGCGGTAACGCTCTGGACTTGAATTTTGGAGGTGCTTGGTTCGAATTTCGGCAGGAGCACCAGATATCCTGACAGTTTTTCGTGATATTCTTCAGTACTTCAAGGTATATGCCGAGGTACTGTCTTAACACACAACCGCTTCTTTCCGAACACTTTGCAATTCACCTGTCGTCTCATCACTCGATATTGTAGAGTCTCGATACTGACATCGACTTAAAATGACCCAGTAGAAAGGTGAACTCTCCTACGCGGGTTAGGCACATCCTTAAGGCGCGCCCACATTGCTCGTGTTCGTGTGACTCTCTATGCTCGCGAGTAATGTGGACGATATAACAAGTCACGAGGCAAGCAAATTTTTAATTTATAGACTGTAGCCAATAAATTAAAATATGACTACAGCCTATACACACTACGAGTAAATATACGGATCCTCACGCGCCGAAGCCTGGCGAGCAACTGAAAAAGTGTGGACGAAGATTTACGAGCACAAGTAAAAGCCAGACGAGTCTCCCCACGAGCACGAGTAATGTGGACGCGCCTAGGCATTCATCTTTTGGCCTACTTAATTGTTCGATCGGTTGGTCGCAGAATGCCTAGTAGCTTCGACTGGTAATCATTACTTAGTATAAAAGAAATAAAATCACGTGACTAACAGCAATAGACCTTCTATCGACCACGATAAGGAGACCTTGCTGAATCGATCTGCAACCCACAACAACAATCCGGCAGTGACCTGTTCAAGTTCCTTCCGTT